GTTTAGGGTTAAGGGTTTAGGGTGCTGGTGCCCTGAGCCTAAGAGCCTGGGAGCTATCATCCAACCCAGCCAAAGACACTTGGCCCGACTGCACGACGCGGTGGCTGGGAAGCAGCTGCCTGGATTTCTGGCTCCGGGGTTCGGTTGCTGAGCTGCTATGAGTTTTGAGTTTGGGGTTTAGGGTCTATAGGGGTTTAGGGGTTAGGGGTTTAGGGGTTAGGGTTCCTAGGAATAAGGCTTTAGGATCTAGGGTTTAGGCTTGAGGGTTTAATGCCTCCGAAAATATGGAGGTATGGGTTGTTTTCAGAAATCCTTCTAAAAATATCAAAACTTTAGAATTATAACTATTCTAAAATTTGAAAAACATCTGAAAGCTTTATATAAATACATTAAATTCGATATATATGATTTGTCGAACCCTCGACCCTCCCTTCCGTCGTCGAAGGCTCGGAGGTTTAGGGGACACTCAACCAGCTCAAGTGGTTCGACAGGGCTTACAAGCAACACTAAACCCTAAACCCTAGACCCTAAACCCTACACCCTAAACCCTAAACCCTAGACCCTAAACCCTACACCCTAAACCCTAAACTCGAGACCCTAAACCCTACACCCTAAACCCTAAACCCTGGACCCTGACCCGTTTGTTTTGCGAACCATATGGAAACTCCCCAACTCCCAACTACCTTCTAATTAGACTGGGTCGCTGCGAGTGTTCAATAGTTCCTGTGCTCCAAGCTAGGGGTCTAACTCTACCACTGCCCTCTGAGCTAGTGCCCAAGTGGCAAATAGATGATGCACTATGAATATGCGCTCCAATACACGGTCACTGCTAAAAACATAAGGGACTGTGACCGACCTTTCTTAACTTGGACTACTTCTGAACCCCTCCAAAAAGTTAAACTTTTAGCCCACATATTACAGTTCATATAGAAACCCAAAAAGTTAAAGTCTAAAGAGCCAACCAGAAGAACGCCAAGTTATTACTTTAGAACCCGAAACTAGAACGACGGCTCAGCCACTGGGAGGTGTCGGTGCTCCGGGGCTTCGGGGTCTCAAGCCCTAAACCTTAAATCCTAAGCCTAAAGTCGTAAAGGCCCTGATCCCTGGGGCTGTTGCTCTGAATTTTGTTGCTGCGGTGTTCTGAAATTCTTATGTGTTTTTGTTTTTTTTCGGTGGGGTCCTCCTACCAAGGATCCTGCTTTGGGGTGATATTAAGGTCCTCTGTTTCCTGAATCTTGCATGTAATTTCATTCATAACCTAAACCCTACACCCGAAACCCTGAACCCTAAACCCTAAACCCCAAACCCTAAACCCCGAAACCCTGAACCCTAAACCACTAAACCCCTA